TGAAGTCTAGACTATATTACAGTGATTCTGATGGGATCTTATTGAACATAAAGCAAGCTTTAAAAAAAATTATAAATGAAAAGTTACTCCTTCCCTAAGATGACCTCATTATGACTACACTAACAGCACTTGCATCTTTTTTACAGTAAAAATATATTTGCATCAAAGTGTAATTACAACTCATTTTTAGCAGTGATACATGAATGTAATTCCAATTATTTACATTCTTCTTAAAAAGAATTTTAGCTGGGCCAGGCGCGGTGGCTCACGCCTGTAATCCCAGCACTTTGGGAGGCCGAGGCGGGTGGATCACGAGGTCAGGAGATCGAGACCATCCTGGCTAACATGGTGAAACCCTGTCTCTACTAAAAATAAAAAAAAATTAGCCGGGCGTGGTGGCAGGCGCCTGCAGTCCTAGCTACTCGGGAGGCTGAGGCAGGAGAATGGCGTGAACCTGGGAGGCGGAGCTTGCAGTGAGCCGAGATTGTGCCACTGCACTCCAGCCTGGGCAACAGAGCAAGACTCTGTCTCAAAAAAAAAATTTTTAGCTGATTTTCCCCATGGTTTGGGGCACCTAATTTTGCAATAGAAATGCTCAGTACATGTTATTTCCATTCCCTAGTATATAACCTTACACTTAGAATATCATTAAATAGGTTCATAAAATAGCTATCACGTATTTAGTGCCTATTGCTCACCACTTTGTACTTGATAAGTTGCACAGATTAATTTTTCCCTCAAAATAACCCTAAAGAGAATATGACAAATAGCATTTCTTGCTCATAATTTGAGGATATTATTCAAAAAGATTAATTGGAAGGTACACTTTTGTGGCAGCTCACTAAGCTATGCATTTGTATACTTTTCTGTATGTATGTGACACTTCAATTGAAAGGTTTAAAAAGAGGAAAAAGTAGCTGAAAGTTAATTCAAGTAGCTATAATACAAACTATCTGTAAAGTGCTGAAATGTTTGGGAGGCCGAGGCGGGCAGATCACGAGGTCAGGAGTTCAAGACCAGCCTGGGCAACATGGTGAAACCCCGTCTCTACTAAAAATACAAAAATTAGCTGGGTGTGGTGGCATGCACCTGTAATCCCAGCTACTTGGGAGGCTGAGACAGGAGAATTGCCTGAACCCAGGAGGTAGAGGTTGCAGTGAGCCAAGATTACGCCACTGCACTCCAGCCTGGGCAACAGAGTGAGATTGTGTCTCGGGGAAAAAAAAAAGTAGACCAAGATCTGGGTATATTTCATATTTTCCAAAATGATGAAATTTCTTCCCATTTCAAAATAGTATTTGTTTTTGAGATTTACCTGAATATTCAAAAGCCATTGTTATGAGTAAAGATGAAGTATCATTTTCATTTAACTTTAAAGGAGGTCTTCTATTCACATGGCTCATTGTCAAAGAGTAATGTACTTTTCTTACTTAATGTGATTTATAGTTACAAGAATGTTTCTCCCTTCTTGTGACAGGTTTCGTGATGAGAAAATGAGAGAAAAACAAAGACACCAAGAGGAAAGGCTAAAAGCTGCTCTGGAAAAAGCAGTAGCACAACCAAAGAAAAAGGTTTGTTTTGCTATTAATAGATCCAGCCATATCAATATGTGAGTGCCTCTGTGGTACAAAACCAAAATACTTTATTCGTCTAACTTATCCAGGTTGAACTTCAGAAGGATAATCTTTCTTGCTCACAGCTTCAATTGGTCTCTCTGGTTGTTACTTTTAGAATAATTCAAATTACTGGCTCTCTAGTTCTCAATTAAACACTTTTTAGTAAAAGAAGCCTCTTCTCTCTCCTCTTTTTCTTTAGCCCTAGGTTCATTAAAATCAGGTTTTTTTTTTTTTTTAGTTTTTTGGAATAGATTATAAAAGCATATTGTTCAAAGTTCAAAAGATACAAGAGTATTCAGTGTAAAGTCAGTCTTCCTCAGCTCCCCTTCCTGGAGGCAACCACTGTTAACAGGTTCATTTGCATCGCTCTGGAAATATACATACACATATATGTATTTATGTACATATTCCTTTTCTTACTGATAGCTAGGAACTTGGCTTCTTTCACTCAGTAATGTTTTGGAGATAAGTGAACCCAGAGAATCGCATGTAACTGTGGGGACTGTGTACAATCCCCGTATTGTAAAGATAATGAGATTGACAGCTGGAGTCAAAATGATTTGCCCAGAGTCACTATGACGTAGCAGCAGAATCAGGACCAGAAGCCAAAGTTCTTTATTTTGCAAGACCACCTGTTCAATCAGAAGTTTGGGATTAGGCAGTCACGTACATGTGGTCCATCACTTCTACACAGGGTAAGGAGGGCCTTTTGTTTTATATGCCACTCTTTCCCTCCTCTGGGATACAGTCTGAAATATATTCCAGAAGGACAATTTCCTGGTTATCTGCAAAGCTATTGTGGACACTGATTCTTACCATAGTAACAGCTAACGCATAACGAATGCTTACTGTGTGCCTTACAACCAACCTCTTGAGGTAACAACTTGAAAAAAATTCTGAAATATGGGAATTGTTAATATGTGCCATAGCAAAAAGATGATTACTTCAAAATATTTTATTGAAATACTTCACCTTAAAAAGGGTATTTATCTAGTTCAATTCTTTCCATGAAGACTTTCCTCACCTGTTCTCTCCTCCCAAGAATTAACCATTCATCACCCTTCCACATGGACTACTTAGTAAACCCACCAAATTGAAATTATTTTTTAATATATTCACCTTTCCTTCTAGACCATGAGTTTTATGACGTTTGTATCCCTAATACCTGGCACATCATGGATACTTGATGTATAGTGAATTAACAGACTAAAAATGAGCATAAAAACTAAACCTGAAAAAAATTGGGGAAAAAATGGTTATCTGATAAATCAACAACACACAATGACCTCTGATAGAAGCTGACCCAATTAGGACACTTCATCATTGGTAATTTTTTCAGACAGTATTAATAACAAATGTTACCAAAGATCTCTGACAGTGAAAAATTCTGATATTGCAGAATGAATTCAGAGATTCTAGTCCCCCAAGGACATTTTTGTTGTTACAGTGATGGGGAAGAGTGCTATTGTTATTTAGGTTCTCTTGGGCCTGCAATGCAGGGGACAATCTCACATAAGAATTGTCCTAAAATGTCAATAGTGCCTTTTGAACACAGTGGCAATGTCCCATCAAATCTCACAGAATTACGGCAGTTTTCGCACTTATACATTTAATTTACACAAATTCAGCTACAAAAGCAAAACAAAATAAAAAGCAGGCAAGGGAATCCCAAAAGTAAAGAGAAAAATAAGTAGTAATATACTTGAGTATATATGCCCCAGAGAGAATGAATAGGTATGAACTAGGGGTTTCCCAAAGCCTCTTCTGTTGGGAACACCTCCAGAAGCCAGCCAGTGTTCAAGATGGTACACGGTTTTCTGGACTTAACAAGATTTCTAAATGCTAGTCAGGTGCTCAACAGGAGAAAGCCATCTCTTCCAACCATGAAGGAAAAACTGGCTATGGCACTTACTGAGAAAATGGTGGCCTTCAACATGGTGCTTTTCTAGGTTGACCACATTTGAACTGTATACTACTGGATGACTTTACCTAAGTTTTCCCACTTCCCAATAAAACCTAACTGTTGCTCCTTCTGCATACTTATCGGTGTCCAGTTTGCTACTCAACTTTGCCTAGCATGTTAGACATCCGTTAGGTTACAAGTCCCTTTTAACTGTGATTAGTTAATATTACAAACCACATTATTCCTTGTAAAAACCAAGTTAATATTGGTATTTCACAAATTTCAATAGAAAATGGAAAATATTAAGTATTTTGTTTTTCTTTTCAGTTGGGAAGACGACTTGTCTATCATTCAAAACCTCCATCTGCTAACAAACAGCAGCTACCTTTAGTCAATGAAACAAAAACAAAAGCACAAGAGGAAGAATATTTTTTTACTTGAATAAAAGCAGTAAGACATTTTATTACCAGAATGTCTTAGGTATATTTTGTAAATCTTGGCTTTCACTAATGACAATATTCTGCCCCATGTACCAGGCCTAATCAATTTGAGGAAGACAGGCCCTTATTCTAAGGGCCATAGGATTAGGAATAAGTTATTTTCTTTTGTTGAAGTCTTTATTCATAAGTATTAGTCCATATAGCTCAACATTGTTATGTTATCTAGACTTTGAGTTGTTCCACTTGGGGATACACAAAGATAGTTTACTGATAAAACTGTATGGTAAATGACCACTGAAGTGTAATAATGGCCATTCTCTTACAACATGAGACTGTAAATGATATATTTTCTCAACCCATCTGTAGGGAAGTTCATAGCATGCTGTTATTACTATGGAATATACATTTTAACAATGTACAACTCTAAAATATCTGAAGGGTTTTGAAAGGCTTAAAACTTAACCTCGAAGTTATGGTCTCAGAACATAACTGTGAGACCGGTTTTTATTCCACATTACGTTTTGTTCAAAGAACTTTTTTCTCCTTAGTAAACAAATCATATGCCCTCAGCCTGAATGTCAGTTCCCAATTTCTGTTGTGCCCTGTCCGTACAATCATTTTAATTTTTAGAAGATGTTTCAGTTTTAGCTACAATATGTACATTTAGCTTATACTGACACAGAATTAACATGTAATTTATTGACTAAGTAAAATAAGACAGAATATTATTAATGCCAAGAAAATGTTTAATTTTATACACGTTAAAAGTGACTCAAAAATAACTTGAAAACGTTGCATTTAAAAGGTCGCAGGTAATAGATAATTTTACAAGAAAAGGTCTGAAATTCACCTTCATAAAAATATCTAAAGCATATAATTATCCTTTATGGGGGGAAAAAAAAGAGTATTGAGCTTACAAAAGAAAAGCAACTTAAATGAAATTCGGTGGCTTTTAAAGCATTAGTTCTGCGAGTAATCTTTCCCAACTGGTTCAACATTTGAGCTTTGCTTGTAAATATCTGAATACAAATAGTTCGCAAGTCAAGTTGAAAAACAAACAAGTCTTTATTGTCTAGAAATATATATATAAAAAAAAATCCCCAACAAAAGATGCTATTCTCTCATTTCCCCATCTTCTTCCTCTTCTTCCACACCTCTGATATAAAGGACATTATTACACCTGTAAATAGAAAAAGTCCATTTTGTTGTTCCAACCAGAAACTTGTATGATCTGAATTACTGTATTTTTATTATGAAAATACTGAATGCTATATTTACAATATTCTTGTCTTAAAAAATTTTTTAATATATTTGTTTTTAAAAAGAGTTTTACATAGACTTGTTGAAAAGCACATTGCACTTATTTTCCACTATATGGTTGTTAAAATGACACCTTTATGATTTTCCAAAGGAAACAATTACCAGAATTTGAAGCTTTGAAGCTAGTACAGAGAATCAATATAACAAAAATCCTTACAAACAGCCAGACCCAACTAAAATTCAAAACTAAGTTCTTGCAATGAAGGCCACTGCAAAAGGTTGCCACTGTAAAAGGTTATAGCTCAGAGCCAGAAAATTTAACACTAGAAAAATCTTTTGGCCAGTTCTAAAACATTTGGAAACTTACCTTTGACAAGTTTAACAATTTCAAAGACTTTTGAAGTCTAATTGTAAAGTATTATAATAGTAATTTTTTTTAAAGTACTTCCAAAATTGAGGCACTAATATATTTAGAACAGGTATTCCTAATGCTCACCAGTAACTCCTTACATATACCACTGCTGTTTGTTACCTTATTAAAACTTCACCCAGATGTCCAGACAAAGCTCCATCTATGTATTCTTCTGTATTTGCAAGCTTTCAATAAAAAGAAATAAATTAGTATAATCACACAAGAGGAAAATATTACAATACAGCTAATACTAGTGAGAGAACTTACTATGACCTTCCTATACCAACAACTCAAATTTATCTATAATTAATAAACAGAGGATGAGCTTTCTATTACTACTGTAGTACTTTTGGTTTCACATAAACCTTCAATAAAATTAATATTCATGGATGTAGAACAAATATATAATAAAGTTTGTCCCAACATAAGCCTCTGAATCTCCCAGGTTATGTAATATTTCTTTCCATTAGATATCAAAACAGTGTGTGGAAGAAGGCAGTCTCTATGAATAAATTGTGATTAAAAAGTTTTCTGAAAATTCATTCTAAAGAACCAGACGTTAAGTTTTCTCAGAGTAAAACATAAATCATATTGAGGTGTCCAAATGGGTATACAAAAGCTATGGCTAGCGTGCCAAATACTTTTATATTAGTCAGCAACCAAAGCAGATAACTGAGTTAGAATTTTCTTCTTTTCCTGTCTTTTAAGAAACAGGGTCTCCCTCTGTTGCCCAGGCTGCAATGCAGTGGCACAATCATAGCTGAGCAAAACCTTGAACTCCTGGGCTCCTCCTGCCTCAACCTCCTGAGTAGCTAGGCCTAAAAGCATGTGCCACAAAGTCTGGCTACTTCAAAACAATTTTTTTTTTTTTGTAGAGATGAGATCTTGCTATACTGCCCAAGCTGGTCTTGAATTTCTGCCTTCAAGTGATCCTCCTGCCTTGGCCTCCCAAAGTGCTGGGATTACAGGCATGAGCTACCACATCTGGGCCTGAATAAGAAAATTTTTTAAAATTATGTACCAATAAACAGGGAAAAACAAGTTCTTAAGTGAAAGTTAAATAGTTAACAGTGACTTTTACAGTTATTTTGTTGAACCCTATTATTTCTAATTTTATATCAAAATGTTTAGCTTTCCTTCTACATATAGGTAACAATCTTTACTTGTAATTAAAAGAAAAATCACAATCAATGCCACCTGGGACTCAGCGACGGCACTAACAGGAGTGAAGGGAGAGAGGGAGGTTTCCTTCACAACTAGGCATGTGGAAAAGGAAAAGAAAAACACGGCTTAACAATAAGGATTAAAATAGGATGTGACATAAGGCATGAAAAACATGTTAATGAACACTACTACTGGATGTTACTCCCTCTCTTATAGAAAACAAAAAGTAATCTTCATTATCCAGATGATAGTTTTGTCTGAAATATATGAAGTTGTTGAGACAATTAGTTTGTATGTAACGGCTATAAGAAATAATGTATTAAGAGCAACTAATTTTTTGTAAAAGGTAATTACAACATTTAACTGGTTTCTAAATTACACAATAATGCTCCAAATACTTTCTATCATGTATTAAATTCAGTCTTCACCATCACTTAACAGGCTCTCTATGGCCACCATTCTAACCTAACTTTGTCATTTGTCCCTTAACTCAATCTGCTCTGGCCTTTTTGCTGTGCTTTGAACATACCAAGCATGCTTCCACCACAGGGCCTTTGTACTTGCTATTCCCTCAAACTGGGATGCTTTTCCCCAGACACTCACCTGAGTTGTACACTAATTCTGGTATCTTCCAGAATTCGTTTCCTCAGAGTGGCTATCCTATATAATATTGCACATACTGTCTCTCTATTCTCTTTTTCTTCATGCATGGCATCTATCACACCTATTATCACATTATATTACCACCTCCCACCACTGAAACATAAACTCTTGAGGGCAGGGATTTTGTTTTGTTCAATGCTATATTCACAGTGCCAAGCACATAATGGGAATCAATAAATATTTGCTGAGTGAACAAATTCAAACACTGGTATCAATATGGTTGACTACTCAAAGTGGTTGGTTACTTAGACATTTTTTAACTCTGGCAGGGTCACTAGCAAGCTATATTAATTCTAAAACAATTATTAAGTGGTAAATCTTTTATTACTGAGATGTTAATTTCCATAGCATAAAATTCACCCTTTTAAAGTGTACAATTCAGTGGTTTTTAGTATATTCAAAAACCTGTGCAACCTTGTGCAACTATCACCACTAATTCCAGAATATTTTAATCACAATTCATATACTTCCCAGATTTTTCTATGGTCTTGGTAAATGATTCCTGTTTAGGGAATTGTCCAAACTCAAACTATGTTTTGGGGACCTTAGTGTCATGTGCTCAGGTGGTAATTGCCTAAGTTAAGGAAAATCATAGCTCTCTGCCTACTTAAGTACTCCTTTGAGTACTCTGCTAACAAGTATGGAATCCTTGGATTCATGATTGGATTGACCACCTGTCTTGATAGCCTTTAAAAACCTGGTGGGAAAGTACTACTATTAAAAAACAACAACCCCAAACTAATTTTTTAAATATGCAAAAGACATTAACAGGCATTTCTCCAAAGATAAACGAATGGCCAATAAACACATGAAAAGGTGCTCAACATCATTAGCCATTAGGAAAATGCAAATCAAAACCACAATAAGATACCACTTCACACCCATTAGAATAACTATTTTATAAACACCCATAGAAAATAACAAGTGTTGGTGAGGATGTGGAGAAACGGGAACCCTTGTGCATTGCTGGTGGGTATGGAAAACCACGTAGCTGCTGTGGAAAATAGCGTGACAGTTATTCAAAAGGAAAAAAAAATTTTTTTTTGTTTTTTGAGACAGGGTCTTATTCTGTTATCCAGACTAGAGTGCAGTGATGTGATCACGGTTCACTGCAGCTTCAACCTCCCCACGCTCAGGTGATCCTCCCACCTCAGCTTCCTGAGTAGCTGGGAATACAGGTGCCCACACCACCATGCCTAGCTAATTTTTGTATTTTTTTTGTAGAGATGCAGTTTTGCTATCTTGCTCAGGCTAATCTCAAACTCCTGGGCTCAAGCAATCTGCTACCTCAGCCTCACAAAGTGCTGGGATTACAGGCATGAGCCACCACGCTTGGTCTCCTTAAAAATTAAACTTGGAATTACCAGTAATCCAGTAATTCCACTTCTGGGTATATACCCCAAAGAGCTGAAAGCAGGGACTCGAACAGACATTTGTATATCCGTGTTCACAGCAGCATTACTTACTACAGTCCAAAGAGGGAAGCAACCCAGTGTCCACCAAGAGGCAAACAGATTAGAATGTAGTATATCCATACAATGGAATATTATTCAGTCATAAAAAGGAAGTTCTGACACATGCTACAACATGGATGAACCTTGAATAATACACTACGCTATGTCAAACAAGCCAGACACAAAAGGATAAATACACGATTCCATCCGTATGAGGTATTATGCATGGTCAAATTCACAGACATGTAGAATAGTGGTTACCATGGGTTAGCTAGGTGAAGGAAGCAATGGAAACTTATTGTTTAAAGTTTAATTGTAAAATTATTGTTTAATGGAAAATTACTGTTTAATGGGCAAAAAATGTCACTTTTGGATGATAAAAAAGTTCTGGAAATGGATAATGGTAATGGCTGTAGAACAATGTTAAGGTACTTAGTGCCACTGAATTATACACTTAAAAATGGTTAAGAGTGGCAAAATTGTAATGTATATTTTACCACAATAAAAAGAAAATTAATTACAAAAAAAATCCCACCAAAACACATAGCTGAATCATTTACAGAAACTCATTTGACAGACATACAGTCAGTTCAATTTCTTCGGCAGATGTGTCGTTCCCCTGAAGGAATGAATTTCCTCAATAACTTTGGTGTTGTGCCTTTAGCATCATTCATTAAAAGACTCATGAATTTCACTTGAAAACTTTCTTTCAGGGCTAAATGATGAGAAATGTTTTGTTTTCTCCAGCAAAGTAGTGTGTTTCCCTTACAGTATTATTATGAATTAAATGTCTGAGCTCTTCTTACTTTAACTACTAGGAATAAAATCTGTGGCTGAATTCTGGTTTAAGTCCATGTCTTGTACCTAGTATATCATAATATCCTCCCTGGCTTTGACTTTATTTTTTAATTTTGCCGTACATTTGTCAATTTAATTGTATGTATTCTTGTTAGTAAGACTAAACCTTTGAGCAATAAGGTGAAGCAAACTAAATGCAATGTTATGACCTTTACAGCTCTTTAGCTTACCTGCATGTTCATGTAGCCATCTACAGATACCAGATAGCCCTTGTACTCCATTCCCCACTTAAGTTTCACCATCACTGGCTTTCCTGTTAGTCCATTGAGGAAAGGTTTGGGATTGAGGGGTAAACTCTGCACAAAGAACAAAAAAGGATCCAATTAATTATTTTTCCTCCCACCACCAACTCTCTTCTACTAAATACCAGTATTTTGTGGTATGCAAATGAAGGAAACTCTTGACTCATTATTTTAGTACACAATTTTCACTTTTATTTATTGGAGAGTACCAGGGAAATTTAAATATCCAGTTAGCCAGTATCACCTTTAACCCATCAAAACAAAATACTCACTATTCACTTAAGATAACACCGACTACATACATCACTTACTGTTCTGAGCTCTAAAGAAACAAAGATAAAGGCATTTAAAAAAAAAAAAAAAGCGGGCCAGAAAGGGTGGCTCATATCTGTAATTCCAGCATTCTGGAAGGCCAAGGCAGGGGGATCACTTGAGGCCAGAATTTCAAGACCAGCCCAGGCAACATAGTGAGCCCACCTTCCTACCAAAAATAGTCAGATGTGGTGGTGCACACCTGTAGTCCCAGCTACTAGGGAACAGAGCAAGACCTTGTCATAAATAAATAACAGAGTCCCTGTCAAGAAGTTGGAGATGGGGAGGGGGGCTCCTCACATACAAATAATTATACTGCATATTGCAACATAATAAGAGGAGATATACTAGGCACAAGGGTACCAAAGCAATCCAGGGAAAAAAGGAAAGGTTGCCTGAAATAAGTAATACCTCAGTTTTAAAGAATGAGAATTTATTTCCAGAGCGGGAAAAAATCCTGTTCCAGGCAAGGCTAGCTACTTATGTAAAAGGAGGGAGGAGTGAAGCAACAAGGTGATTTTGGGGACATACAATTCAGCATTGTCAAAGTCCCAAATATAAGACTACAGAAGGAAGCAGAGGGCAGATCACGCTTGACAGTCTTTAACTGTGGAAGCTAGGGCTAGGTCCTAAATGACTTTGTCACTAGCACTGCCTCTTATAGCAATCACTTAAAGTTTGTTCAGCAAACCATTAACATCTCCAGTGAATTCGGTTTTTGCCCTTTTCTGCTCACTCACCAGTCAAAGAAAGAACAGAACTAAGAAACTTGGCTACTAACCCCCTCTAACATAAGCATATTCGGAGTGACTTGATACGGCGATTACTCCAATAACCTAACGGGTCTCCAGTTTTCATTCTCCAATTTATTATCCACCACAGCAACATGATTTTTTAAAGTGCACATCAAATTGTCATATTTCTGCTTAAAATGATTCAATGGCTTCCAACTCAATCATTTTCAATTGATTTGGAGTACAATCAAAACCTCCCAATACAGCCTAAGAGGTCCTGCCCAACGCCTGCTCCTCCGACACCATCTCGTAACCACTCTTCCTGCAAGTGGCTGTACCTTTTTGTCAATTTCTCCAACTGACCAAGCTTTCTTTCCGGCCGCAGGTCTTATGCTCCTATTCCCTGTGCTCGGTACACTCCTCCTCCTGCTCTTTAAAGGGTCTATTTCATGACACTTAGGCTTCAGGTTAAATTCCACCTCCTAGGGAGGCCATCTCTGACTAAGCCTCTAAATGTCTAACGCGCACCCTCACAGCCTCCTGTCTGCATTCTTCTTAGCACTTATTACTTGCAATTGCATATTTGTTATTTTTTGACTGTCTGTCTTCCCCAACCGAGTTAAACTAGAGCATGGCCGTATCATTACTTTCATGCAATGAAAGTGAATTTTGGAGTGTGGTTAAGTGGGAAGTGCAAATTCTCTTTGAGTTTTACCCCGACCCTGTAGCCACAAATAAGAATATCCCAAGCCCGGATTCAAACAAAGAGGAGAAGGCACGGGCACTCCTAGGAAAAGAAAGGCATCGGGAGGAGCACGCGCCTCAGAAATCCTAAAAGCAGAGTGAAAGAAGCTGGCGACCGGGTGCGCGGCGCCTCACGCGGATGAATGGGAAACGCGCGAAGCAACCACTAGGCCCCGCGAGGTGGTCTCCCTCCTTCTCTTTCTCCCCGCTTCTCCCGCCGTTCTCGTTCTCCTTACCATCGTAACCACGGCCGAATATTGCAGGCTACTCACTGCCGACCAGGCTGCCGCTTGTCCCTCGTGACTACAGCAGGTACCCCAGGTCCCGAGCCGCTGAGTTTCAAGAAAAATGGCCGCCAAATAGGAGTGTGACCTTTCACCTCCCACCACGGCCCTTCCTGCCTCTGTGATTGGACGAAAAGAGATGCGCGCTGATTGGAGGAGATGGTTGGACCAGTATCTCCTGGCAACCAGCAGCGGCTTGAGTTTGCGCCTGGCCGGCTGCGCGCGGGTCTTGGGAAACCCGCTCGGAGGAGCAAGGTGAGGCAGCCAAGGACTGGAGGCAGGCCGGTGTTGTAAATGTGCGGTCTGGGAGAGGCTGTGTAACAGATGTGACTTCTCCCCAACTTGGTTAATGGGGATTTTACTTTGTCTTTTTACACCCGTGAGAATGTTCAGGATCCCAGAATTCCTTCCTCACTCTTCCAACAGGTTCCATGATTTGGGGGCGCCTCTGCCGCAGGCCGTTTCTACCTGAGTATTCTCTCTTCTGCAACACCCATTTCAACCCCTTTTAAAGGAATTCGGGGGTAGCCAGACAAGACTAGGGGCGGTGAAACGCACCGAAGGGAGTCGGATACAGAATTTATTTTAAACGAGGTCAGGTTGTGTCTGGGATACGGTGTCATGTCCCCCCACCCCCCACGACCCCGCCGGCCCCATCTTTCTTTTGCATCGCCAGCAGAGACTGGCATTTGAAATTACCTAAGGGCGTAAGCAATATTTCCGCTGTCACGGATTAAAACTTTCGACGTAACGGTGTTATCCGAATCTCACTGGTTTTTGTCGTAATCCTAGTGAATTCGGCTCACTCTGATCTGAAATGCTAAATGCAGTTCTTGGAGAACACGCCCTTTGGGAAGTAACGCTTTTTTGCGGCCCTGAAGAGATGGATTTGAGGTTGAGGATGAAATGTTGGTTGTTGAGGCACTGTGGAGCAGTGGGCAAGACTTTGGAGAGGGCCTGCATTCGGAACCTGCGTCTATCAGGCGCAGCCGGTGTTGGGCAGTGTCTTAACCCCCAGGGCCACTGTTTCCACGGCAGGAATGCGGCTTTAAAAACGGAACCATCCTCAGCGTGGTTGCGAGAATTTAACCTAAAACGGGGCTTGGCCTTGTAAAAGCTCAGTGTTTCACATAAGTGTTGAACACTGACAAGACAGTCATTGTCAGTGTAGTTTTTACCAAACAGTTATTAGATTTATTCACCCTAAACTTAAGTGGATGTCTCCCTTAGTTTGTCTTTTGTTTCATGAACTTTAAGTCTTTGTACAGACTTTGAGTTCCTACTATGTGTCAGGCTCTTTCAACAATTGTGGAAATCTTACCTTACCGTCTGATTCGGGGTGACAGCCCCGTTTTAGAGATGAGGAAGCAGGCCCAGCAGGTAACTGTTACCAGTTGAGGGTAGCTGTCCGAGTTCTTGCCGTTTTCAACAAAGAATTGGACAAAACGCACAAACAAAGCAAGGCAGCGAAAGCAGAGATTTATTTTAAATGAAAGTACACTCCACAGGGTGGGCACCGCCTGGTGCAAGCGGCTCAAGAGCATTGGTCACAGAATTTTCTGGGGTTTGAATGCCCTCTAGAGGTTTCCCATTGGCCCACAACCGGTCCGATTGGTTGCAGGAGGGGACCAATAAGAGGTACTTTCATTTTTCAACTGCCACGCAGAAAAAGGAGGGGTTGAAATGGGAGTAGCCTCTGATACCCAGTCTGCATGAATGGGCCTTAGGTTCCCTGCCTCCAGCCGCTATTCTTCTGCCTCATAACCTGCTCAGGACCACATACCTGGGTTTCAAAACTCTGCTTTTTCTACTTCATGAAGCTGCCTTTCAAAGACTCAATATGTACTTGAGAAGCCTGACTCTTTAGCTGTTTTCTCAGTGAAGTGAAGCAAAATACTACAATAAACACATTATGTAAAGATTGTGCATTTAAGTTTGGTTTTTCTCTTCATGTTAATTATTATTATTTTTTTTTTCGAGACAGTCTCATTCTGTCACCCAGGCTGGACTGCAGACGTGTGATCTTGGCTTACTGAAGCCTTGACCTCTTGGACTCAAGAGGTCCTCCCACTTCAACCTCCCGAGTAGCTGGGACCACAGGCATGTGCTACCACACCCAGGTAATTTTTAAATTTCTTTTTGTAGAGATAGGGTCTTGCTTTGTTGTCCAGGCTGGTCTCAAACTCCTGGGCTCCAGCTGTGCACCCACCTTGGCCTCCGAAAGTGCTGGGATTACAGGTGGGAACCACCATTCCTGGCCCATATTAAATTTTAATCTTAAATACCTTATTAAAATTAAGTGGGCATAAGTCATTGATATTTTTCTAATTATAAATATTATACAAAATTTTGGAAAATATAGAAATTCTAAACAATAAACCTAAAATCACTAGTAATCCCACCAATCAAAGAAAACTGTTAACTTTTATTGTAACATATGTACTTTTTTTTTTTACAACAGCTGTACAGTTTTTTTGCTGTTTGTTTTTTGTTTTGTTGTTGTTGTTGTTGTTGTTGTTTTGGAGACAGAGTCTCACTCTTTCACCCAGGCTGGAGTTAAGTGGTGCGACCTTAGCTCACTGCAACCTCCGCCTCCCAGATTCAAACAATTCTCGTGTCTCAGCCTCCCAAGTAGCTGGGACTACAGGCATGCAGCATCACGTCCAGCTAATGTTTTGCTAATTTTTTAAAATTTATTTTTAGTAGGTATGGGGTCTTACCACTTTGCCCAGGCTGATCTTGAACTCCTGAGCTCAGGCAATCCACCCGCCTCAGCCTACCAAAGTGCTAGGATTACAGGTGTGAGCCACCACACCCGGCCTACACACAGTTTTGTAACTTGTTTTCTTCACTTTATATTGAGCAAATTCTCATATGAGTAAATATACTCTTCTAAAGTGTGGGTGGCTTAATATCTTCATTATACTTTGTATTTTGCATCTGTGATAACATATTATTCTATTATTTTCATTTTTCCTCCTGTTATAAACAGTCTGCACTGAATATACTTTTACATGAATCTTCGAGTGTATTTTTGATTCTTTACCATAAATTCTTAAAAATACAATTCCTAGGTTATAAGGCATTACTATTTTAAAAGCAAATATATATATTGCCATGTTGGCATATAGCTCCACAGAATATTCATCAGAATAATTGGTTCAAATATAGGGGAAATAACAGGCTTTATATTTTTCAAAGATGAGATAGAATACATTTTGAGCACATATGAAGAAAATGACCCCTAATTGTTAATTAGGATGAACAGTTTGGTGAGTTCTACCATTATTTATCCTATAACACAAAAGTTCCAGTGGTATACAATCATCTAAAAAGGAATTTATGAAATGATTTAGAAATATTTACTGAGGTGAGTAAAATGAATGTGTAATGTCTGCCCTTGTGGAACTTTAAAACCTCTTTGATAAGAAGGGGACCAATATGTATTGAATGCCTTTCATGTTATGCCAGGATATTTTATTATGTAATTTGTCTAATTTAAATCCTCACAGTACAAAAACATTAGCCGGGCGTGGTGGCGGCGCCTGTAGTCCCAGCTACTTGGGAGGCTGAGGCAGGAGAATGGCGGGAACCCGGGAGGCGGAGCTTGGCGCCACTGCACTCCAGCCTGGGCGACAGAGCGAGACTCTGCCTCAAAAAAAAAAAAAAAAAAAAATCCTCACAGTACTTCAAGGTAGATATTATTATAATCCCCATTTTAGAGATAAGGAGACAGCTTCAGAGAGATTATGTATTTTTGTCAAAAGCCATGTGGAAGGTAAAATGGCTCCAAAGCCTAAGATTTTTCCTTTATACCGCGCTGCCGCTCCCAAAAATGTGGTTAAGTAGAGTACAAATAAACAAATATATAGAAATACAAATATTAATGCAGGATGAAGAGGGATAGCATTTACGAAGTTACTTTTGAAATTGATGAGCTCTTCTTTTTATTTTGTTTATTCTCATAATTCCAACATCTTATTATTTTTTTTTATTATGGCCAGAATCAGCTACAGGTATGGTCGGAATAGGTTTAAAGGAGGAAAAATCCAAGATTTGAGTGCTTTCTGTCTGGTGGAAGCTTTTTGTATATATTTTTGTCAAACCTGAGAGATACGGTATTCTGTCTAGCGAAGAAGTTAAGATTAAAAAATATATGAGCTTCCTTGGATCATACAAACACTGAACCTAGATTAGAATTCAAATCTTTTTGGTGGTTCAAAGCCCATTGTACCACTGTAGAGAGACAATCATACCTCAAAGGTGTAGGAACATAAGAACCCCCCCTCACCTCTTGAGGTTTGATATTTGAGTCTGAGAAATAAATAGACGATAGACCAATTACAAGGAGAAAAAGCACAGTATAATTGATTTATGCACAGGGGAGCATCACAGGAAGCTGAATGCCCAATTCTAGTAGCACTAGACCCAATAAGGTCTAGAAGTTTATATACCCTTATTCACAGGGGAGAAGGGAATGCAGGATGTAAGCAATTTTAGAAGAGTAATGATTTTTATGAGATGAATGGGTCCATAGAACAGACAATAGTCTGGGACAAAGTTCATCTGGGCTGTAGGTACGGTGTTTGATTTTCAGTCTTTTCCTCTGTGATATGAGTTTAATTTTCCTTGGTTAATGAAATTTCAGTAAGAAGACTGAAGACAATTGTTTTCCTCTTCAGTGGATTGGATATTTAAGTAGATAAGGGAACTTCAGAGAAAAGTCTCTTCCTGTGCTTCAGGAGAGGAGGAGGGGCAAGAGATAGGGGGTGGGAGAAGGTCAGAGACAGACCCTAGTTCTGAGGCTGCTGCTTTAGTACAAAGTATTGGTATGTCAAAGCACCATGCTTTGGGGTGTCATTTTCTGAACCCCAACAAAGGAAACTTGGTATTGTGGTTAGGAGCCACGACTGTCTGAGTTCAAATCCTGTCTTTGCCATGTGCAGGTTATCTCTGCTTCAATCTCCTCATCAATAAAGGGGATGATCATGATAGTACCCATCTTAAAAAAATTTTTTTTTAATCAGGTGGGCTCTACTTATGTTGCCCAGGCTGGTCTCAAACTCCTGGGCTCAAGCAGTCCTCCTGTCTCAGTCT